TATTTCATCCATGTTTTCGATTTTTAGACAAAATTTGCCAATAAATAGTTTGAAAATATTTTTTGCAGCTTTTAGTTTTTAATATTAATTTACAAAATGGTCACCCAACACTTAACAATAGCCTTTATGTTGTCATAAAGTTCAGTAAACAGATGATATGAAGCTGCTGCACACAGTTTCTGGGATCAGCTGACCTGCATCCAGAATATGATTTGTATAACTGTGGGTCGAACTCCCGAAAATAAACAGTAAATAAACGGAGAAGCTAAAAAACACAGTTAAACTGTTTTTGAAGCGAACACAGCAGGATAAACTTAWAGTATACGGACTTTGATGCGATCATCAGCCGGACATTGAGAGCAACAGACAGAGTTTTATGTCACGGGGGGAGTGCAGACCGAGCTCGCTCGAGGCGCTAGACGCATGCGCTATATATACATGTCTGCCTGCCTCCCTTGCGTAACGTGAAACCTGACTACAGTTGGAAAAAAGAGCGCACAAGACACTTAATTTGGCTTAAAATACAAACATTCTGACAAACAAGTAACTGTTTGTAACCTTACCTCAGCTTAGAAGGCAGAGGGTGTCGGTCTTTTCTGCTCAGATTCAGCTATCGGAGCATGAAGCTAATGTTTACTTACAATGCTAATGCTAACCTTGCTCTCTAGCGCTCAAGAGGTAAAGTAGCCAAATGGCTGGCTCACTGCTGCCAACTAGCGGTCAGAGGCTGAACTACAACATGAAAATGAACGGCTGGCAGGAAATTTGATGTTTTAAACCTTAATAAAAATCGATACAGGGCTTTAGAATATCGATACAGTATCGGGAAATGAAATATTGTGATATTTCAGTGTATCGATATTTCCTTACACCCCTACAGTTTACTTATGATATTAAAGGAACTGGTGACTGGATTGTGTCCTACCTCTGAGTTTCTGGTCAGGCTGTGTGTACACACTGGTGGCATCATTGACTTTATTGTAAACCTTGGCGTAGCTCTTCTTCTTGTACGGCACATAGTCTGGAGACATGTCGTCACTGAATCCATAGATCCAATTGTAGGACTTCTTTACGCTCTTCCCCTTATTCAGACCTCCTCTGCTTCTTTTTCTTTCCCATCCACTTTTCATATTCACCCACTCTCTAACCAGCTCGACCTTCTCCTCCTCCCATTCTCCCATCCCTTGCTTGGCCTTTGTTTTCAACCTCTCGTACGATGCCTTCTTCATTAGTGAGTGTGAGCGTTCTTCCTCAAACTCTAAACTGTTCACAGCTTTGGGCTTGGAGGCCATCTGTATGGAGCTGCATGACAGCCTGTTGAGCGACACCACCACTTCTTTCATCTCACTGCGGATGCTCTCCTTGCTCTTCACCAGGCTGGACGGCTCAGAGAAAGACTTGGCTTTCCTGAAGAGCTTCTTCATCACCTTTGGTCTACTGGCTTTTTTAAYGTCACCTAAAAGAATAAAATAAAAAGTCCCACATTTGATTAATTTAATTTTTGTTTTTCTGTGCATCTGTGTGTCTTTTAGCAAAAACATTTTAATGATGCTTCCAGGAGTATAGAGAGAATAGTTTCAGGAGTGATTTATGACCTCTTCCACACTGGAGCAGCATTTTGTGGAAACAMAAAGGTCTGAGCCTTGAGTCTACACTCAGACTGTCTTTCAGAAGCTCCTAAAAATATCTGTCAACATCAGAAGAGAAGTCCAGCTTCTGTTTTAAACTGTCAGGATGACTGATAACCTACTCCAACCTAGTCAAGGGTTCAATTAAGTGTTAAATAAAGAAAATATATCTTAAAACTTTTAATTTGTTTTTACTTTTTAGCTCTTTATAAAATACAATACTAATAAATACTACAGTAAAAACAAATAACAGCAATTATTATCAGAATATTTTCAGTAGTGCTGTTAAAGGGATCCATGATTAGTTGTAACATTAGACTTTATTTAATAAACATGTTTTAACTGTAAAATAGACTGTAAAAATACTGTAGGCTGTTTAGTTTTTATAGTTTTTAAACTAAAAGTTTAAAAATATATTACACGGACGGGGCCATTTTATTTACACACAAAGCATTCTGGGTAAATGATGACGTGGATAGGTCCTCGGTGCGAGGCTGCTAGCGAGCTA